TGGTCTGATGTTTATTTGAGCAAACATTCCAGTTTCACATCAACAATGTTTTTTATCTAGGCACAGATAACCAATGGTCAGTGACCTCCAGGACTGTTGATGGTTTTGCCAGGTATTATCAAGCCTTTATCTCTGAATATAGGTGAGGCATCATGAATGCAAAAAAAAGGGACAGTAACATTCAAAGGGTACAGAATAAGATATGCTGGCTTATTTATGCATACATTGGCTATGCATTTGTTTAGATTTTTCAGCTACCTTTCTCCTACACTCATCCTTGGCCAATCAAAAAGATTTAAAAAAGCAAGGCCCAGACATCAGAGTTCTCAAGATGGCTTTAAAAATCAAGGCTTTTGTAAAATAAGTTAATTATAAATTTTATTTGTCTGACTTCAGAACCTGCCCATTATACACACTTCATGGTTAAACATTTTCTTCTGCATCTCTGAGATCATACATGTTAAGCAGCTGTAATCAGAATATACATATATTATTGTTGTGGTTTAACCCAGCAGGCAGCTAAATACCACACAGCCATCCGCTCACTCCCCCTGCCCCCAGTGGGATTGGGGAGAGAATCGGGGGGAAAAAAAAGTAAAATTTGTGGGTTGAGATAAAGACAGTTTAATAAGACAGAAAAGGAAGGGAAAATAATAATAATAACAATGATAAAAGAATACACAAAATAAGTGATGCACAATGCAATTGCTCACCACCCACCAACTGATGCCCAGCCAGTTCCCGAGCAGCGGTCACCACCACCCGGCCAACTCCCCCCGGTTTATGTACTGAGCATGACGTCACATGGTATGGAATATCCCTTTGGCCAGTTTGGGTCAGCTGTCCTGGCTGTGCCCCCTCCCAGCTTCTCGCTGGCAGGGCACGAGAAGCTGAAAAGTCCTTGACTAGTGTAAGCACTGCTTAGCAACAACTAAAACATCGGTGTATTATCACATTATTCTCATCCTAAATCCGAAACACAGCACTGTACCAGCTACTAGGAAGAAAATTAACTCTATCCCAGCTGAAACCAGGACAATTATTTTGATTTCAAAAGTAGATTTTACCTCCCACTAGATATAATCATAAATACTATACAATCACAACAGTTGCCAATACTTCCCTCATGTTAACCTACTACAACTTATAAGCATGAGTTAGAGCTTAAATTTTAAGAACAGTATAATGCCACAAGCCCTGAAAAAGTCAAATCCCTTGGAACTTCCTCCGACCCCATTCTTAACATCGAATTCCTAACCCCACCTTTTTCCCCAGCCTCTCAAGCTCCTCAGCAAACAGGTCAGTCTTGCAACATATCCTTAAGGTCATCAACTTACAATTAGGGTGTTTTTTTCTAGAAAGCAATTTGCAGCCAAAGACACTGAGGACAAGACAAGGAATACTATCACCCTTTTTATTCCCTATATTAGTTCTTGAGGCCTCCTAAGCAACTAGACTTTTGTAACTATATTGTCAACTTGCTCGCTTGACAGCTGGTCTCCTCCAAATAGCTTTTGAACTTAAGGTCTGTTTGAATGAAATTTGATAGACAAGGTGATGAAGCTTCTAAATGTTTGATAAAAAACTGGTGACTGGTAAAGAAAAATAAGCTGCAGGCAGGGAGGGGAAGCTATAGCTGCAGCTGCTGCTTTGAAGACTATAACCAAAGCAAATTTGTATAACACTGCATTTGCATCAGGGGGCACCCTGTTTACATCCAGCAGATGAAAATGAGACATGAATGAAGACATAATGCATTTACATATTTTTCCATCGTACTCGGGGGCATTTCTGTTAAAAGCGGAGCTACCCCAAAAACTGCAAACCTTTTTTTTTTTCATCAAGGTGTAAAATCGGGCCACCCTGGTCTGAAGCTATGAGGCATCACAGTCTAAAAAAAAGTAAAGAGAAGCTAGCAAAGAATTCTCCTATAAGCAACTGGAGCCACATGTGTCTTTGTTAGCTGTACTGTTGCTTAGGAGCAGAAACAACAGCAGCTGCAGAGCAGTGCAGGCTAAAAGACGGACAAGGTCTTGCTACCTGCGTACTTGACCGAGCTGTGCGATTCGATAATCCCAGCCTGTGAGTGAAGCACTACGGCAGAAGGTAGGGAACAGTCAGCTAGCATAGCAGTTGTCCTCCCAAGAAATCAGAGGTATCTGTAAATAGTTATGGCTATACTTTAGGAAAGGAGTAATTGGTTATTGAATATTAATCTCCTTTATTTGTCAGGTGTCTTTTTCTTTTCCCCCTAGAATAAAGTTCTATTTATTAAGCATTTGATACACTATTTTTCACATGGGGAAGACAAACCACTTTTTGGTGTGTTTTCCCAGATTTCTGGAGAAAGGTTTAGGATGGATGTTTATTACCAACTCCTTAAAGTTTGAATGTGGATCACCTCTTACTGTTGCAAGTCAAGCCTTGGTAAAAGTCATAGACATAAACAAGCTTTTGATAAGCTAGTCAAGAGAAATGCCACGTTTAGATAAATATTCCTATTCCTGACAGCAATCTGTTTATAGAAATAGCTTTATTAAAACAACACGCAAAACTTACAAGCAATAAATATAAAAACAAGATAAGTATTAAATAGATATCAAACTGGGTGAGAAATGATAAAAATACATTATACTGACTCAAGTACAACCAATATTTAATTAACTGCTCTGACTGTGCCTGAAGTGCTTGTCCATGCTGTACTTTAATAATAGAGTCCAATCCTTCTTTTACAAAGAAGTCAAGGACAAAACTCTCTACAGTGGGAACAGAATCTTACTTTTACTTGTGCAGTTAATTTTGCAGGAATTGTACAATTTCTACTGTTTATTCATAGTGTTTCTATTTCATACATAAAAAATACATAAGCCACTGCCAAGAAAATGATCGGTGTCACAATGAACAGCACAGAATAAAAGGAGAAAAAATGAACCAACAATCTGCAAACAATAGACGACTAAGGGAATTATGTTATAAATTACCTAATCTGATGCCTTTCTTCAATATGGCTGCCCATTTGAAAAATTAAACAGTATTGTAAGTAATGAATGGGGGTGCGATTTGGAACACAGCAATGATGTGAATATTATTTTTAACTGATGAGTTGTATTTCAAATGTCTTTGACTATTTACACAACATTTATTTCACCGCTTTTTTCCAATATTCCAGAAGAAATTCTGAATTATTATAATGAAACATTATAAAAACATAAACAAAAGAAATGCCCTACTGCATCAGAACAGTGGTTCACCCAGCCCTGTATTCATCTCTCACAGTGGCAAAAGACAATTGTGGTTAGGAGAAACATATGACCTGCCCCCTTTCTGCAAACCATTCCCCTTGTACTTTTCCAGTACCCAGAATCATTGTACCAGGGATTTAAAAGAGTACTTACCTGCTTAGTCCTTCTAGCATCCACTTAAAGACCCGCCGTCCATGAAATTTTCTAAGCCATTTCTGACCCTGCTGATACTGTCCGCCTCAACATCTTTCTGCGGCAACAAGTTCCAGAAGTTCACTACCCACTGCACGGGGACTATTTTTATGCATTTTAAACTGATTCACACTAGTTTTGAGTGCCCCTGGTTCTCATATTATAAGAGTCTCCATTTAGCTTATCTACTACCAGAGAACTGTTCAGTGTGTCCTGAACTAACTATAAAAGAAAGCCACTGCTTCAGCTCTATGCATTTTAAAATGTGATTTCTTAGACACCAGACATGCTAAAAGTTGGATTTTTTTTAATAAAGATTAATGAAATGGGGTAAGGGTTACCCATTATATTTTCCTAAGTTTCTCAGAAAAATAAGTCAAAGAAAAACATCAAAGTCAAACATGTAAACCCAAGACAATTATACAGCTAGCACCTTTTTCTGTGAGAAGCTGATCTAACCCTTCACACCAACCAGGATTTGGAAAATTTCTCAACTGAATCTGACCTTGTCATTTTGGGCTCACATTGAATTTTTGTATTTTCTTATTCAGAGGTTGAATTTTGTATTTAAACTTCAGCCACTCCTTGACAAACGATTACTGCCTTTTAAGAATGTCTTAAACTATCCTGAATAAAAGATTTTGAATACAATGAGACAACATCTTCTCCTTTCTGCTTAGCAGAGGATATCCTGTGAAAGGTATGAATCTCAGTATGTACTGAATTATTTTAATAAATACAAAAAAATTACCAGCAATTCTCTGAAGAAGCCTATGAAGGCTACTACAGCCAAAGAGCACACAAAACCGCTCAGATTGAGAATGCAAAGGCAGCTTTATGTTAGTTCATGCCATGCCTAGATTACATCAGTATTAAGCCAGTCAGTCCCATTCTGTGTACCAGTCTGAAATGATGTAAAGCTGATAGAAGTCTGCTCTAAATTTTCTGCAGCTGGAAGAGTAGCAGGTACTCACATAGAAGCTATGGACCACCAGCTTGCAAGTGTACCTTGAGCTACATCCCTTTTCCAAATCTGAGTGACATACTTGTTTCCCTTTCACTAGTTCTCTGCCAGATAAGGATCTGTAAAAACAGGGATATGGATATAGCCATCATCTGACCACAAATATTTCAGCATATTTTCAGTTCAACTGTTTTTACAGTAAACAGAAAACCAAGATTGCATAATACCTGCATACATAAACTGGACCTTCTTAATGCCAGGCTCAGCAGCATACTGTTAGAAGCTAAATATTTTTCATAGTAAAACACTACTGCAGAATGCTTGCTTAAAGAATCACAAATATAGTATCTTTGATGGGTAGTCCAGAGACTACCTTCCATAAGGCCTACTTTCCTCAAAATCTGCTCAATCACTATATAATCATTTACCTGCTGTTTGCAAACATTAATCCAGGGTCAAGGTAATGGCCCTGTGACACAACACATATATAAAACCATGCCCTTTTAGCATTCATTTATAACTTCAGTGGGCTACTCTGATTCAAAAGCAGACTACTGGCTTTATCAGAGCTTAGGCAGAAGTGACATAACACCACAAACAAAATGCTGCTTCTAGCTTCAGCTTTTTTTCTAACACTACTGCAGTGCTCTAATGCCCAAAACAAAACAAGCATTACACCTGCAGACTGTAATACTGTTGAAACAGATGCAGGAGTGGCCCTGGATTTGGTCAACAGACATCGCAGAGATGGCTATGTTTTCGGTTTAATCCGTGTTGCTGATGCACAAGAACTACATATAGTAAGTATCAATGTAAAGGCTGATTTACACAAGACTATGATTTTAAAATAATGAGCCAGATCATTAAAAGCTCATGTTTATTGCTTTTAACAGAGCAATGTTGATGTAATTCAATGAATCAGCTCTGATTTACACTATCTCAGTATTCATTTGTGCATGATTTAGTGTATGTAAGCTTTATTTCGAACAATGCTGGATGCCCTTTATTTTCTTGGCCGACAGGATGTTTGCATAAGAGATGCTCTGAACAGCTTTATACAATGCTGGAAATTAATCTGTCCTGTCTCTTGTCAGGTCTCGGATGTTATGTTCAAAATTTATATTTGGAGGGTTTCTTATTCTGCAAATGTCTAACATTAATTAGATCAATGTATCCTGCAAGATAGGTATTTTGTTATTATCTTAATTTTGGAGATAGCTGGATAACTGGAGGGAAGGGAAAAAAGCAGAGGAAGCCAAAGGAGATGAAAATGCCACTCAGCAAAACAGAGGAAGGGCTGGATAGAGAATCCATATCGGTCATTTCCTATTTCCTTCCTATTTCTATTTCTGTTTCCTAGAGAGGATACATAAGCCTTTCTCAATGATTGCCTAAATGCTAAAACAAATAAATAGCAGAAAAAGCAATAGAACAAAAAATTTCTTTAACTAGTAGGCTTTATACAACGCTGGAAATTAATCTGTCCTGTCTTTTGTCAGGTCTCAGATGTTATGTTCAAAATTTATATTTGGAGGGTTTCTTATTCTGCAAATGTCTAACATTAATTAGATCAATGTATCCTGCAAGATAGGTATTTTGTTATTATCTTAATTTTGGAGATAGCTGGATAACTGGAGGGAAGGGAAAAAAGCAGAGGAAGCCAAAGGAGATGAAAATGCCACTCAGCAAAACAGAGGAAGGGCTGGATAGAGAATCCATATCGGTCATTTCCTATTTCCTTCCTATTTCTATTTCTGTTTCCTAGAGAGGATACATAAGCCTTTCTCAATGATTGCCTAAATGCTAAAACAAATAAATAGCAGAAAAAGCAATAGAACAAAAAATTTCTTTAACTAGTAGACAAAAGAGACCAAGGACATGCAGATTTACTAATACACCTGGCTACCTTTTAGCTGCTTGGCTATGAAACTAGAATCCAGGCACACATGCACTGTTTAAGAAGTGTATTACAGACCTCAGTATGGCAACTGAAAAAACAGGCTAGTTTTTGATGGAGCTGCTTAAGACTGCCTGTTAGGACAAGAAAAAGCTCAGAAAGTGACCCAAAGCCCATATTCCTACAGGTCTTCAGGTATACTTTCTTCAGCATTAAGAGATTTAAGCCCTCAAGTCTCCCATCCTTGAAGAATACTGCTGCCATGCAGCTACGTGTGTGCCACCCCTGTGAAGTGGAGCCACTGGGCAGTAAGACATGCAAAATTCATTGGATGAACGAGAAAAACCATAGTTGTTTCTAAAAAGAAAAATCCCAGTGTTTCTACATTTTAACCAATTATTGACTATATAAACTGTAGAACCATAACCTGGAATAGGGACCAGAGCTGAGGATTCACACTTCCAGATGAATGCTATGACCACTAGACTACCATGCTTATGTTTTGCTTTGTCCCCTTAATGAATTTTGCTGTCTCTGCAGTCCAGGGCCACAGCTTCAGCTATCACACAGAATCTAGAAGAACAGAAAAGACCCTTCTATCTCTCTTACTGCTAAAGAATTCTCCCTGTAAGGTCTCTGTACCTTCTCAGACCCAAAGCCACCAGGTGTGGTCTCCTTCATACCGATCATGTACACTATTGCGCAAGAAGTTATGTTGGCTCCACTGCCAAGATGACATTAAAAAAATAATATATATAAAAAAAAAAAGACCAGAACATTATTTTGATTATCTCCATGCAATAGCATGCATCAAGTCTATCACATCAACCCCCTTAGAAACTTAAGCAGAGCAATTCCTAGCAGCTGGATCTCTACTGGGTTTACATGGGAGTTCTAGAAGCATAAGATACTCAAGTATTCACACTAGAACAGTTCTGGGCTTGTGCAGTGCAGAACTCTGGTGCCCAAGATGCTTTTAAAACAACCATGAAGGCACCATATAAGATAATTTTTTTTCCAAGAGCTATCCAGCAGATGAACAGAGGAATTTCCTACTGCATATTTGGATGTAGACACTCAATTTCACCCAAACTCTGCTTTAGGCTTTATTGAATCCAAATGCATCCTGCTGAAGAAAATAAATATTTGCCAGGGATGAACCGGTTTCTCTGGCATTTCACAAGTTTGGATGACAAAGTGAATGTATTTAGTCATTTCAGTTTTAGAGGGCTCCTAGTGAATAGCACATTTTACAAAAGACTATCTTACCTATCTTACGTTGCCATTCAGTGCAATCCCATAAATACAAACCAGAAAAAAATAGTCTTTCTCACTGTCTCTGTTCTCTTCTCTGTCTGCATTGTACTAATATGTTGACTAGCAGCTTGAAATTATTGGGATTTATAAAATAAAATAGAAATACTAACTACCCCTAGGCAGAGAATAATCATGTGGCTAGCAGGCAGGATGGGTGTCCAGGACAACTATATTCTTTTCCTGATTCTGCCATTGAATAACATGTGTCTGTGCAAATCACCTAGCCCCTATTTTAAAAATAGAGACAATGCTAAGACATACGCATACGGCAAAACTAGTGTTTAACATGACACTGGTGGACTCTTACTAATAAAAATATTACACTAGACTGCAGTAACTCTTTCTCAAGGTCTCGTCTATACAGAAACACTCTGAAAAAGGAATCTGAATGGATGAAATTTCATAAAACCTGAGGACACTTATTCAGAGTGAACGGCTTTGCATTATTTTATCTAAATGACAAAATAAAATACGTCTGTGTTCATTCTGAATGTCCGTCCATACAGGGGTTGCATTAAGTTTAAACAATCCATTCCAAATGTGAATTGAGATTCATTTTCCTGCAGAAAAATCCAAAATTGTTTCTGTGGGCCACAGATAATTCTTAACACCACATCCCATTACACTGGCAGCCAAACTCAAATTCTGATTCTCCATCCTATTTGCTCAGGAGACTGAACACACTAGAAGAATTTCAGAGCTAAGGCTCCTGACTTTGTAGGGTTTATTACAGCTTTGTTGCATCACTCCTTGAACAAACAGAGCAGGAAGCAAAGTTCTGAAAGAGTACTTGGTCACTAAGGACATTTGAAATGGATGTAGCTAATAATTGGCTGCCTAGACAACTGATTTCCTAATAGATCAATATGTTCTATGTGAAAATCAGAAAGAGGGAATGGCAACTTTTTAACATTGGCATTTTCCCTACTTGATGGATGCCAGGTTAACAACAGACTCTTCTCACAGGCTCTCAACAAAAGGATAAGAGGCAACAGTTCTAAGTTGCAGGAAGGGAAATTCTGACTAGGTGTAAGGCCAAAAAAAAATCATGGAGAAAGTGATTAAGTACTGGAACGGCCCAGAGAGGTTGTGGAACAACTGCCTTGGTGATATATAGAACTCAGCTGAATCTAACCTTGAAGTTAGCTTTGCCTTGAGCAAGTGGCCAGACAAGATGACCTCCAAAGGTCCCTTCCAGCCTAAACCCTTTCTACGCTTGTCAGCTCAGAAAAACCTTAATAAGGAACTGGGGAAGCTACATTAAAGATTAAACATATCTACTTCAAAAAAAGTTTCTTTCAGACCAAACTTCTTGTACACAAACTCTTTTTTACCTGCACTTCTCTTCCAGGGAAATTCATCAGTCCTCTACTTAACTTTGGATGTACTGGAAACTGAATGCTCTGTATTATCCAGAAGACACTGGGAGTCTTGTGAATACAGTGACACCTATTCCATGGCAAGTAATATGTCAATATTGCATTAACTTGATCTTCATCTGAACTGCCCAGAAATTTCTGTGTCACAAAATCTCTAAGTGAAGACTAGGCTTTAATATGGCTCACTATAAAATAAAGTCTATTGAATTCTAGAGTTGTTAAACATAAGCTAAAGATTTGGAAAAGGGTTCACTCCTCAAATAAGTGCAGCTTTATTTAACTAGTTGTCTCAAAGGAGCTATACTCCGCATTCCACTGCTGGTGGCAGTACTGATGTTTTAAGAATAATTTGCTGACAACGAAAGGGCACTAGAAATTATTTTTTTAAGCATGTTCCTAGTATATTAGCCAGAAATACCAGTGTTATATTTTGTCAGTTTTCGGTCATAGCATTTGTGGTATGACAATATGAAATATTGGTAGTAGGTAACCATATACTCCGCATTCCACTGCTGGTGGCAGTACTGATGTTTTAAGAATAATTTGCTGACAACGAAAGGGCACTAGAAATTATTTTTTTAAGCATGTTCCTAGTATATTAGCCAGAAATACCAGTGTTATATTTTGTCAGTTTTCGGTCATAGCATTTGTGGTATGACAATATGAAATATTGGTAGTGTCAGTACACATGATATGTAGCAATACTTGTCCTTTATTGCTGTGGTCCAGTGATGCAGTCTGGAATGAGAACCACTAGTCCAAAACTTTATTTAAATAGGAGAGTGGTGATACTACCACACAGGACAAAGCACGAAGGCCATGAAGAGAGAAGAAACCACATTTACTCTTTTTATCAAGATGGGGAAAATGAATGGAAGAAAAGGTCCATCCACTTTTTGATAAAGATTTATGTGACCTTGAGTATCTCTGGCATCCTAACTTCCCCTGCTAGCTAGTATTATCCTACTGTAAATAAGTATTAGAATGACTGAGAAGGCTGGTTTAGTTTTCCATTGTCTACTCAGTCATGCAAACTGAGAATTAAAATAAAGGCTCTTGTAGAGGGACTTCCTATTTTATGTGAATACAAATTTTGAGTGGTACCAGATCAAACATTCCATTAATGACCACATCTGTTATTCTTAGAAGTACTGTACATTAGAAGGAGGCATAATTTCTATGATCACCTACATCCAATTAAATCCACGCGTTTTTTTTTCCCTCTCAGGACTTTGGGCAATGTAAGATTATCACATATACAAGCCAGCTGCTGAAGAAACCTCAACTATATGGATTTAATTGTACATTAAGTCCAGGTAAAATAACCACTGTTGTAAGTCAATGCTTACCTCAAACCAGCCCTAGTACCAAATTACAAGTCTGTGCACTACTAGTGTATGGTAACCGTAACAGATTCATTCATCTGCTTGCAATTCATATTTTAGATAATTCAAATGGAATGTTAAGAATGAGTAATAGAATTAAGGTTACCCTATGCTTCTAAAGCAGACTTTATTAATGTCAGATGATATCACCGTTCCAGTCCATCAAAACATGATAACGAATATCAGGAAAAAAGTAAACTTGGAAAGAATGCCTGTTTGGGGTGGTAAGATTCTAAGGTGGAGCTAAAAGATTTATAAGAACATTCATTCATTTTCACAGGTTTGGGGTTTTTTCACGTTACAGGACAAACCCGTATTTGTGGAGTGAGGGATAGGCATTTCACTTTCAAGGAAACGCTTGCATTTCAGTTTCTCATTATGAGTTCACATTAAAGGCACACGCACACTCCCAACAGTATTAATATCCATCGCAATATTAGTAAACTCTCTGTTTTCACAGTTCCTCCTGATTTATTAGAGTGCAAAGATTGTCCTGTGAAAGTTGAAGTCTTAGAAGTCACCGAGCAACATAAAAATACTGCTGCAAAGGCCCTGGAGAAGTTCAACAGTGAGGGTAACCACACAAACTACTTTGACGTGGACAAAGTTGAAAAGATGGTAAGTGGCATTTTGTCCTAGGATTACTTATAAATGACAAAATTTTGTGTGCAGCTCCAAAACCATGGGACTAGAACTCAAACGCTTCTAGGATCAGAACTATTGTTTGTCACCTCTCAGCATAAATCATCTGTTTAAAATTGAAGGTCCTGCTTCTGCAAAGACTTGTTATGAACTTTACTTTAGGCATGCGAAAACAAAAGGATTTCTCATCTGCTAAAAACTATGACAGTGTGATGGCATCCAAAATGTCAGAGCCTTCTTTGTGTGCATATTTTTATTTTGAATGCCTATTTGCCTATCATATCATAACACGCAAGAGTTTATTTGCTACTGACCAGAGTTCTTCAAGATGTACAGTCATGTGTATTTTCACAGTCATACATTCTGTCAACTGAAGTCAGATAATATTTTACTCAGAATATTTAGCACATGGGTACAACACAAAGTGGAACACGCTCAACATCATTTTGACTCTCTGCTGCAGAGCAAAGCAGCACTCTGAGAGCTCTGAAGGACGGGAGGTAAATTTGTATCTGTGCTGTACCTCTTGAAGAACTACTGGCTCTGATAAATAAGTCCTCCATCTTTCAGTGATGTCGACATGAAGACTTATTCTTTGGGTGATTTGAAGTATAACTCTCACATCACCACAATTTCTTGTGGTAGGTACTGGAGACCTTCACTTAAACAGCACAGGATCACTGTGCCAACACATGTGTCAATTCAGGATACCTCTGTAATGAGGTCCTATGGCCCCTGCCATAATACATGTTGATCTTGGAAACTGCCTAAATTATAGCATGCCACCCCCACCTCCCTGCAGCTTTTAATATTGCTCAGAAACTTAACAGTGTTCTACACTGTAGTCCCATGCAGGATATACCTCTACTCCCATTTAGCAAGTGGCTGTTTTCAGATTGCCTGGACTCATGGATTTCTCCCTAAATGCTTTGTCTTCACACTTTGCCGTCTTTAGCTACAGTGACAATTTAGATTGTACCACTGGATTTCAACAGACTGCATAACACTTACTTAGAAACTATGAATTACGATAAAAAAATATACCATAAAGTATGTGCATCCACTTTTAACCGATTTAGTTAAACTAGTGAAACTTGCATGCACACACATGCTATGGACACCTTCAACACAGACTTCAAACAAACTACTACTACAGTCGGAAATTAAAATGAAACACCTCTTTATGGATTTTAATAGGATCACAAAGGCCTTCTCCCATATTCTAAAGGAGTAATGCCTTCTCTATGAATAATGCCACTGACAACAGAGAAAGCAACAATCTCACAGTAACTGGCAGAATTTCATCCCAAACTAACATCAGCACTGTAGTACTATGCACTCCCATCACTGGAAAGGGGTGGTTGCCATCCAGTAGATCTCTGTATTTTCACAGGAGCAGCAGTTCAATTTAGGGAGAAGACTCTAAGGACGCTAATTCTTAAAAACACACACTATAAAAGTAACAGGTTTTATAACATACACATACTAGACAAAGAAATAAAGCAACCATTCCTGGAACTCATAAAGGTGTGAGGCAAGTATGGTATAAACTATCTAATCTATGTTCCTTACTGAATACGCGTATATGTATGAACATTTGAACAGCACAGGTAATAAAAGCATGAGGTAGACCAGATTTTGACAACAATATGAAGTATGGTTGCTTTTAAAAATACAGGACTTTAAATACAGCTTGTTACCACTTCTTGTTTGACCTCTTGGTTTCAGACTGCCTCCCGTGAAGGTCACATTTTAGGATTCTCTATAAAAGAGACCAACTGTACTAAATCCACACAACAGGCAGATCAGGCATTGGAATGTGATTTTCTGGATGACTGGCACGCTGTAAGTAAAGTCTTAGAATGAGAACTGATACAATGGGTGGCACCAGGAAGATCTTCCCACAATATTGGCAAGTGTTTTTATAAGCATGCACCCAAACTCAAAATAAAAAATCCAGCATGTCCAAGTCCAGATCCTAATTTTACAGCTGCTCCTTTTTATTCTATGAGGAGCCAATCTGAACTCTCAAATCTAAATGTAACTGGAGTCTAGCATATTACAGACCTAGAGCTGAGCTTTTCAGTTTGGATCTGGCTTTCACATTCAAATTGTGGCCATTCCCTAGTAAATCATTCATGCTATTTTCATTAAAACTTTTACACTAACATGAGTCATAGATCTTGAAAAAAATACATGTATTATGTCATCCCAGTGAGCCCAGGGTTACTTCTTTTTCCTCTACTGCAGCAGAATGGACAGTGGAATAATTCAGGCTTGTCTGCAGATTACTATTAAAGTACTCTCCTCACCCCACCTTCCCATTACAGTAATAGTCTACACCAAAGAAACAATAGGCAAGATCATAATTTCAGAATAAATTATTCCCCAGAAATGAAATTGAAGGAATGAAATAAAAATATGGAAAAAATAAAACATGTAGAACTTTTGTTTTATCTACACCCATTTTCTCCTCTGCCTCTTTATACTCCAGAAGACTGGAAAAGGTTGTGAATGAACCGGTAGCGGAGCCAAAAGTTCACTAGAATGAAGCACAAGCCAGATGGCTAGAGGTTTTGAATTCTGTTCTCAATGCTGCCACCACTGGTGTGTGTGTGTAAAATGCTATTAACATTTCTAATCATTGATCATAATAGGCTACTAATGGCCCAAACATATATAAAGACAAAGCATCCACTACAGAGAGCATACACAGAACCCCTTACCTGAGTTCTGTGCTCTTTCACATGAGCAATTCCACACACAATGACTGGACAGGAGGTGAAAGTCACAGCAAACAGGATGCTAAGGGATGTAATGCTAAAAGATTACAACAAATTACTTTTCAAAAAATAAATATGGAAGAAAGCTCTACCTTGAGCTTTGTCTGAAACAGCATAGCTACACAGTGTCTGTTTTCGAGGACTTTGAGCAAAACTTCAGAATAGCCCAATCTGAACAGATGTTTGACAAGCAAAGACAAAAAAAAGGAATAAAACTCAGTCACCCACAGGGTACTCATTTTGGAGACATCAGTAGCTGACCAATTTCTTACAGACATCAAAAGAGAAGTAAGATAGAGAGTAGTAACCCTCTAGATGCATATGGCAAAGTGGTCTTCACAGTCAAAAACACTAAAAAATGGCATATATTTTAATCACTGACAAGTATCACTGGTCAGAAAGCTCAGGATCTAGCTAAGTTATGTAAACATACTTAGGTATTGAAGGAACTAGCCTAACTTTTAAAATGTTGAACTTTCAGTAGCTTCTATCAACTCTATCACACGAACCCAGATGTGCATTTTTTTCTTTTCTTTTGCTTAGCACGTGGGATTCTGCAAGGCAAGAATTATCAGTGATCCAGATGAACCTGATGAAACAGATATAAGCTGTGAAATCTACCATCCCTGGGTAGGTACTCACTTACTGAAATGTCTCTGGCTATATCCTCATGCAGGCTACAGCAACCTCACTTAGTCCAGACTGACAGATGATTGCAACGGCTGTTTATGTCCCTTTATTGCCGCCTGGGTGTGATGCAGCATGTCAGGACAGAGTGGCTTTTGACTGCTAGGTCAATCAGAGCATGAATTAGAATTGAGCTGTCCCTACTACTCCCTCCAAAGGTGTCTTCTCTCAGTCGAATCATACTCCTTAGTTAAAGTTAGTAGAGATTGGCAAACAAGTTCAAAGGAATTTCAGAAAGCAAGAGGAGGGGAGATGATCTTTATCATATTTGGTATTCCAGTCTATATTACAACAGCTACTCCAGTGTGGGTTTTATTTTGTTTTGATCCATCACAAATTTTGCTCCGTTGGTTATATCATTTCATTTTGTTATGGTGTAGTATTGCCAGGTGATTTTCAGTAATTTGGCATTTTATCATCTAGTCCTTCTCTTCTATCTTGAAAAAAACACAGTTTTTTTTTCCTTACAGATCACCAGAACTGTAAATGCAAACCTACTAACTCCCACCTCTCTTTCTTTCTCACCACTTTCTTCTGTCTTATTAACATCTCACTTAATATTTCCTCCACTGGTGTTTTTATAAACAGCAGCATGACTATGGGCAAAGATGCAGATATTCAACTCTGGGACAGCCACACAGACATCCCCATCATCATTTTGGTCACAGACATCATCACAGGCATCATCACAGGCATCATCACAGGCATGGATGTCCACCCTCTTCTCAATCCAGACCTGAAGACCCTGAGCATAACCATAGTTTCAATGAAGAACATCAAGACAGCCATGAAGGACCTGCTCCTCCTCCTCCCCCCCACTGTGGACCACATCACCACCTTCACCCTCCACACCATTGTCCTCCACCTCCTCCCCATGGTGGACCACATCACCACCCTCCTCCTCCCCATCGTAGGCCACACTGTCCTCTTCCTCCTCATGGACCACATCACCACCATCCTTCTCCCCATCGTGGACCACATCACCCTCCTCCTCCAGGACACCCTCCTCATCTCTATCATCACTATTACAGACATCACTGCAATAAGACAAACATATCGGGAAAGTCCTTTCCACTCCAAATAACTGGAGCTGTCTATCGCACTCCAGTTCTAAACCATCAGGATTCTCTCACACCTCCTGCTGCAAACTTTCCCGAGCTATCCCAAAGCAACCCTCACTCCTCCAGCCCTGGTGAAGGTATTCCCTTCACTGGCTCAAGTCTAAAGGAGATGCCAGAAGCTCCAGGTTTTCCAGATCACCCTACACAATCAAAGTCATGCCCAGGAAACCCCAAACTTGTTCTTCCAAAAATTTTGTCTTTATTTCCACATAGCTCCATGGCAGAAAATTCTCCTACATGACCTCAGAGAAAGATGTTCCTGGCTTGGGAGTTGCAGGGCCAATGACAGTTGTACAATGAATGAAAACAGCATGTGGAGAAGGGGAAAAAGCATACAATTTCTAGGGAGGAGAAGCACTGAAAATAATGACTAAGACAAGTATTCCAACCTGCCTCTTGATCCCAGCTATCTCAGACTCCACTGTGACTGAAAGGCTCAAAATTCTGAGTCCCTCAGATAATGTGAATGTGTACAAATCTCCCCAGCAAACAATGCTCCTTTAGTTCTAACAAAAAGGAAAATTCCCTAATAGTGAAAACTATCATCTAAAATCTTTCATTTTCTCATCATTCATAATTATAATGTACTTCTCTGAGGAAATCTGACCTAGAGGAAAGTTGACTGCCTTCCGTAAAAAATGATCCATGGTACTACATTCATGCTTTATAAAGATTCAAAGAAAATAAAAATATGTAAGCATTTTTTTTTTGACACAGTTGTCAAAGTTTTGTCTTTTTTGTTACTATGGATGTTTAGCTGCACAGTAAACATCCATGAGGCATACTCTAGCATAAACTGACAACGGTGGTTGGGTAACCACCATTATCTAGAAAAGGTCTGAGAATAGTTAATGACTTGTAGTGTAACACTGCAGGGTGGCCTGCACAGGTACTTCCATTGCTACAGTTGCTGGTGGTGATATACCAGAAATACTGCCTTCAAGGACAGCCTTTTGCAAATGGTTCATAATTGCTCTCAGAGGAGGAGAAAAGCAGATGCATGTAATAACTCTTTCATGTAAATGTTTTCTTTATCACTGAACCTTCCTCACTGGAAACTGAGCTGGGAGGGGGAGGAAGAAAGAATACTGATGTCTCTTTATACTCTAGCCCCCATCAAGGTAAAGTCCATTCATACAGACCTGGGACCCCAATGAGTTAGTTCAGAACAGTTATCTCATAAGCAAGAACATGGGATTAATCTCAAAAAATTAGTAATTTGGTCCTCAAAGTAGCTTTTTAATGGCATAAAGTAAAATACAGTGTGAGGGCTACATGGAAGAAAAAGAAACAAAATGGGGACAGCATTTTGTGTAACAGTGAAAGTTGTCTAATTTTTTAAAGTGCATTATCATGTACAAACAACCTTATTTCTGGCCTAGTTTATCCACGAAGTCTCTAAAGTGCATTTTCTTTAACCAAAACTTGTAGCAAGACACAACTGGAGCACTGGAGCTGAGGCAATCCCAAGGTGTTCACAGATTCAAAGCAAAGCTATTTGGTGCTCAACACTGGAGACAAGCACCGTATGTTCCCTGCCAGCTCTAATTCTGGCTCTGCCAGAATAGGCAACATTACTTAATCCCTTGTTCTTGAGTGTCACTTTCCCTGTCTGTAATGATAACAAACATTATGAAGACTGACTAATCCATGGTCCAAAGGCAGTCTCCACATGGCGGCAAAGATGGACACTTCCAATAGTAGCATGAAGGACAATGTTTATCAAGTGTTATTGACGAGTTATGTGACATTCAATGATATGCATCTGTCCAAAGACTTTTTTCAAACATGTTCTGACTTCTCAGAACTATTGCAGTCTGAACACTAAACAGATCTATAAAATTTACAGGGCTGTTGTCCAGAACCAGAACTTCATTGCCACTGTGACCTTCTTGGGTGTTTTATTTAAGCCTTCTAAAATTCATTCTCAGTAGCAGTTTAGATGTTAAGAAGCCAGAAAGCTACAAACATTCTGCTTTCTTTTTTGCTCAGGGGCCATCCTGCTTAGTCTAAACCTGTCCCCAGCTGCAGCCATTTAGCCTGTTATCTTGATGGCAGGTGGATAACCTTAGTGTCATTCTGGTGACAACACAAAGTTTATTTAGATAAACTCAAAGTTTATTTGCAGTATAAACAGGGTATGACGAGAACCAACCAACCCCAGCAACCTACTCATTCTGTTTACTTAGCTATTGCTCCTGAAAAACAGAAGTGGTGACTAAAACCCTGTCAGGCATTCCTTTTCCATTTGGTTTTTAAAGAGCCTTCTAATTCAGGGGGCCTTTTTTGTCCAGTTATGAAACCTTTCATTGTACTAGCACTCTGCTGTAGTTTTTTCTCTAGCAGAGCCACCCCTCTTCCATTTGAGTTTTTGGACTGTGATGACCCTGATGTCTTTAAAGCTGTCGACACAGCACTGAAGAAATACAATGGAGACAGAGCAGCTGGTAATCAATTTGCTCTATATGTGGTGATGGAAGCCAAGAGAACTGTAAGTAGACTTTGGAAAAAAAAAAAATGTTGGAATTGTTTATGCACTCTGAATCAGATTATCTCCATCTCGTTCATAAGACAGCAAGCATGACAGCAAAGTGTCTTCCAAAAACGTTTTAAAAAATCAAAGAAATACTTGAACAATAATATACTCGTTACCGTGACAAGCAGGGATGTATATTATGTTTTTATCAATGGAATTATGTGTGCTGGTGAATTGCTTATTAATGCAAGGACTAAAGAATAGAAAATTTCTATCACGAATACAATTTGTCTTACTAGTCCACTCTGTTTTCTCCTTTCTCTGTTGGGTATTCTACCCCTTTCCATCATCAGTAAGGTTTTCAGATCAATGGCAAAAACACTTACTAAAAAACCTGAATATTATCTTGACTTGGGAAGAGCTGGTATCACACATAAAAAAGAATGACCTGATAAAATTTGGCAATATTCTGAATAAATTGTTTGTGAATATTATTTGATTGACACTAGTCCTGAGTCACAGATCTATCTAAAAGCACTAGGTGATATTTTAGTCAAATAGGGCGATAGCTAAAATTATAGAAGAAAAAAAGAATGAAACATGATCCTTTGCCTGGAGTCCTTCTATATAGTGTTAATCTAACAAAAGAGTATTTACCTCTGAGAGGCATACAAAGATGATATTACCATAATAATGACAAGCATTACTTTACTTGAAAATAACATTAGCATTTTTTTCTACTGGATTGGATTTTCAGATGTAAAACACAAGAAACCCAGTGTCAGAGAGAATATTTTGCACTCCAAAATCACAAGATGGTTTTACCCAGATAGAAATTGACCTCAGAAAGGGGACATGAATTGCTAAATGCCCTACAGTAAACTGCCCACATCTCCTGGCACCTACTGTCTAGTTTTCCTGTTTTCAAACTGGGGAGATTTTAGCATGTAGTGACAAAGACTAAAATCTGGCAAGCCCCTTACACAATTAACATCAAACAAATGAATAGTCCCACTCTCTTCACTGAACTACACACATCCTTAACAATAGCCAAATGCAAACATCTTTATATCAGAGCTGTAACACCACCTTCCTTTTGCTGATGTTCAGATGGACAGATATTAGTTTCAGTATTTTATCTTAAACAACGTTCTATTTTTAAGAATACATATTTATTGCAATCAATTATTACTTTGAATCATTGATCTAACTATGATGTTAAGTAAAAAACAGAGAAAAGGAATCTGCAATATAGATTTCATCATATTCAATATTCCTTTTCTAGAAAGAGTATAGATTTTACTCATTGCTACTCTCACAATGTTGAATGCATTAATTAAATAGCTGGTTATTACATATTCATGTACATTCATTATTGATAAGGTAATAAGACATAAAAGCTGACTGGTGAAAGACTGAACCTGCCCCAGTTAAAGGCATAGCTGTTCATAATAATAATGAAATAAACCAACAACAAATAACATACAGAAATAATGTCTTTTCTCACATATTTCATTTACTCACTGAGCTGATTTATTGCAGATTTAGAACACTGTAACAGAGAAGAGAATTGGCTCTTTTTAAGTCCACATCCCAGACAGTATAACCTGATGCAGCTCCATAAATGTCAATTTATACCTGCTGAGGATTAAGTCCATTATATTTTTAGAGACCCTTTCATCCTGTCTTACAACCTGCAACCATTATATCAGGTACCTCTACACCTCTTCGTAGTTGTAGCAATACACAACAGGAATTGAGAGAACACCGAATATAATTCGGTGTCTACACCAGCGTAAATCCAGTGTATTCCACCCACATCAGCTCAGCTTCACTTTCCTGGTACCACTAGGGCAAGAATTATCATTTAATTCTCCCAGCAGTATCACTTGAGGATAACCAGTGTTGAAGTACAGCAGCTGCTGTGCTTGTATTTGAAAAGGCACGTAGGCAGAGCATTTTTAGTGGCGAAAAAAGATTAGTAACTTCTGGCTTTATATCTCCTCTAAAGGATGAACTACAAACCTTGCAGTGTTAATGTTACGTAAAAGATTAGTAACTTCTGGCTTTATATCTCCTCTAAAGGATGAACTACAAACCTTGCAGTGTGTTAATGTTACCTGTAGGCACAGGCTCACTGCTCAGTTTGTAGCAAGGAGAAAATCCCCCCTACTGATTTACCAACATCAGAAACACTTCCACTGGCCAGGCCAAACTTTGCTTAATACTTTGTATTTCATCTTACGGGATTCCTGAGGCTACCCTCAGGAGCAGCTCAGCCTTTAATGCCTATAGGAAAACTGCAGGCACCGCCAAAGGCTGTCTCCAGAGCATATGCCCTCCTCGCCCCTTTCCAAGCAGGCAGGGCAGCTTAAGTGCTCTGTTTGTTACCATAGAGTAAAGGCAGTTTGGGCACTGCCGGGCTGCCTGAGGGTTGCTGGCTGCTGTTTCTGGGCTGCCCGTAGAGTTGTACAGAAGGAAAGCAGACAGATCTGGGAGAAGGCCAAGAGTGAGTGTGAGGGAGTTGGACAGGAGCACAGTCCAAGCTGGTAATTATGCCAACTATCCAAGCAGCAACCCAAATTTGCTTATTTGGAGTACATTTGAATATGAGTATAAAACCTAACCACTTCCTTCTGGTTTTAAAACCCTTGGTATTACAAGTTAAAATGAAGGTAGTTGAGCATACCATATCTATTATATCAACATATTGTAATTGTAAGTAAGGGCTCAGTAATATAATTAGATAAGTTAAGTATTGAACTACCGAGATTTGGGAGACCTTGCATGGAGACCAGCAGCTAATGTTACCTTATACTATAAAATATAAGGGGTGTATATATATATTTATACTATAAAATATAAGGTAACCAATGGATAGTATTTACCTTTTGAAGCTCTTATCTTTTCACTTGATTTATTACTATGCAAATGATGACATGCATATTGTTTTTATCCAGGCAGGTCCTGACACACAATTCTATGTGAAATATCGAATACAAGAAACCACTTGTGCCACTGAGGAAAACAAACTCTGGCAAGACTGTGATTACAAAGTACCTGCAGAGGCTGTAAGTATCTGTCCTCTTTAAAAGTTCTCTGTCCAGAAACATCAGCATAATGACCCGAACTGCAGTCACCTGGGGAAAAATACAGTAGAGAATTTAACTTTTTTAGCTGTGTTGCTTCTGAGCGCTTATAGGACTAAAGTACAGTACAGAAATATTTACAACTCTAAAGTTAACCATTATAATAGTGAGTTTACCATTATAATCCTGAATATGTGCAGAAGGGAACATTTCAGCTCTTCAATATGAAGGTTCACAGTAAATTCAACATAAGATACATGCACTGTGAGAGTGATGGCTGTAAAACTTTCTATTAATTATGCGTAATGGAAACTTGCATAACTAAATTGACTTCAGATCTGCACCAACAAAAATACTGACATGGAAGCCACTACGGCAGAAAATTTACCAGAGGGCTTTTAGCAATGCAAAGCATGTCTGGCTCATGCTACTAGAGAGCACCTAGAGGAGGTACAATTGGGGCACACATAGCATGTGGGAACACTGCACATTTCCAGTGGAAGTCACTGTTATTTCACACGGTACACAACGCAAAGAAAGGGATGATGGTGATAATATCATTTGAATCAATGTGGAATGCCATGATCATTGCTGCATATCCTGTACTAGCAGAAAGGAAATTAGGCAAATACACAATTTATACAGACTTTATTTATGAGGATGTGTTCATTTCCGTTATTCTGGCTGTAAATTCTTTAGTTAATTAATAAGCATCAATCATAAAGCAATCTTTCAGATTATTTGCTCAGTTCATCCCCTACTCTTTTCACAATCAACAACACCGTTCCTTTTCCAGTAACAAAACAGCAAATCAGACATTACTACAAATGTACATATGAACTTGTTCCCCAAACTCAATTTGCAACTGTCAACTTTGTTCAATAGCTAGAGGAATATATAGCACTGTATTTTTCTTCAGCAAGTTTAAGACAAATGTTGTCATATATTTTTGCAGAAAACAGGAGAATGCACAGCTCAAGTTCACATGAATAATGCTGAAAAAACAAGTAACATTTCACAAGATTGCAAAATTTTTCCAGGTATGTAACTGTCTGGGGCAGCATTCAACAAGTACGTTGACAAATAAGAATGGGAAAAATATAATATTGAGACTTTCAGGTGATTTTAAAGGTAGGAGCTCCTTATCATTCTACTCAGACATTTATAAATAATCTTTCATAAGCAACTACTTGTTAAAGATAAAATTTCACTTCACTGTTATACACATATAGGCTAAGTCAGTGAAGCACTGGCATTTTCTATCTAGGGTAATGAAAACCGGCGCATGCCAGTAGTAAGTTTCTTCAAACACTGGAATTATACCAAGTTAAAATGAATTTGCTTAAGACCAAAAGCATATCAGTAACTTAGAGACTAGATACAACTTGTCACACTTTAATTTTCTGTCCTTACTTATTCAAATATAAAATTGTGCAAGAAATTATTAGAAAAAACCTTTATGAGAAAAAATCGTACCTCAATTTTCTCCAAACTAAAAATGACTATATTATTTCTGTTAGTTTACCAAAACAAATATTTATCCCAACCAAAAAAAGAACCAAAAAAAAATTTCATTTACAAAATAAAAATTTAGCAGTGATGTAATTATGTAAGAGAGACTCTGATATCTTTTAGACCTTAACAATAAGCAGTACTACATTTCTTGCCTATAAGACATTCGTATATAACTATTATGTTCACTTAGTAATTTCCTTTATTAGAAAGAAATCACATTGTTTTAAAGCTTTGCAACTGAGATCTCTATGTGCCTATGCCTACTGTTCATGCAAGACATAACAAGCTAGTTTTAAAATATCCGTCTAACTGGTAGCAGGGAGCTAAGTGCATATTAACTACAGAAATATTTACTGTGATTTCTGAGATGTTTGACAGCTTATCTTTGTTTTTTATTCCTGGTTAGCTTGTTTAAAGCTTAAATGGCTATACCTACAGCCAGTGTCCTTCTAGGAACTGCAGTACACACAAACTCCATGTTCTGCTACTGAATAAACGCCACTTGGTTTAGACGTGTTTGTAGGGCAATGGTGACATCTAGTTGCCAGTAAAAGGTGTGTGAATCCCACAGAGAATGCATGGGAAATTTGCATTTGAATATGTGCTTAGAAAGCTAAAAAAACACACATAAATTAAATGAATCACGTATTCAGCCTAAGAAGCTCATCTCGTTACCAAGTTATAGCAACTCTGAAAAAAGAATACACATTTGTTCAGCCCTTCTGAAAATGCTGAGACCATAGTCGGTTTAGAACTGGGTGTACTGTTGTTTTCTTCTCTCCTTTGTGATTACTCCCTGAAAACATGGTCACATTATTCTGTAACGTATATATTTGTCATTACTGAGTCAAAATAAATGATGCTAGAAATAAGAAGGGCCAGAATTTGTTCAAGTACCCCTTGGAGAGCTAAGGCTAAATAGTATTGCTTACACTGAGATATTCCAAACGTACAGAGGAGCCAAATCAAATCCAAAGGATTCAAACAGAGTGAAACAATAGACCCTAACTGGTGAGGGATTTCCCCACCATGTTAGGTACCATACTGCTCAGCCTTCTGGGTGGAACTGTTTGACCGTATCGAGCCTGGACTGGTTTCCTGGCTGGTGCAAGCTGGCGTAACTCCATTAAAGCTAGTTTATGCCAGCTGAGGATCAGGCACACAAATTTTACTTCAATTCCACAGAGACCACATATTGTCCCACTTTAATTCTCAAGCTCACTGAATCATGAAATTAATTTATGTACTGAACTATAAAATTAATTTATGAAAATCCAATCCATGATTACTAGAAAGGAAAAAAGAGTTAATAGGATTAGTAGTAGGAAACAGAAGTTTGAGCATCCCCGACAAGCTTGTCTATCCACAGCCAGTCCAGGTGGTTAAGCCTGAAGGTAACACCAAGTGGTAACTGGCAGCCAAAGTGACTATCGGGGGAGTTCAAACAACACAGCAGTAGAACAGTTCAACTACAGTCCCTAAGGAGCTTGGAGTCAGAGCAGTTCACCTGGGTGAGCCAAAACATGCCTGTCAAAGTCCCCATCCTGAAACATGGTGAGGATAGTAAGCAGCTGTACACAGTGGGTGAGCTTTGAAGAATTTTAAGAACATCTCCTTAGTTGTAGCCTCCACTGTTTCTTCCCTGACTGAATGAGGGATGACCCTTCCTTAGTGGTGTCAAAACTACATGCAAGGTTTTTCAGACATTCAATGACTCCTGAACTCACTCCTCTGAATGAAGTTTGCTGCTGAAACCATGCCTGGATCCAAATGTCATGGATGGCCCCTACCACCACAAACCAAAGCATGTTTCTAAATACAATGAATGTCTTTGCAGACCCTGAAACTGAAATGCGGATTTAGCTGATCACTCCAATTAAAAGCAGAAAGGTTCTTGCTCATTGAACCTTCTGTCTCATTCCTAGATAGGAAAAATTAAAACCTGAGGCTGTCTTACATGAAGCCCTATATTTTTTGGTTTGTTTCTTTTCCAGCTACGCCAAAGATAACACTTACTGAGGCTACATGTCTTGGATGCTTCCATCCTATATCAAGTGACAGTTCAGAAGTGTCTGAAATTCTGAAACAAGCCATTCAAAAGTTTAACAGGCACAGTGCTGAACGTGTCCTTTTTAAGCTTGTGGGAATAAAAGAAGCTAAAAGACAGGTTTGTGTATGATTTTTTCTCTAAATTTTACTAAAAAAACCCCAAAACCAGGTACCTTGGCTGTTTTATGTATACGTTTCTTATTTTAAGGTGGCTTATATTTCATAATAAATGCATACAAAATGCATATAGAGTGTAGACCCTGTAAATAATTCTCTTCATTTTTAAGGAATCATAGCAGTTACCTACTGGATTTTCAGAGCTGTCAACTTTACAAACTGATAGTAAACATATTTTTTTCTTTATCTGCAGTTGCAGCTAACCAGTGTTTAGCACCAGGTTTTTTTTGCATTCGGTGCTGACACAGAGATCTTGTGTCATCTCAGATGCTCTTGGGTATTCTGCTTGGCCTCTCCCTGAAGCTCCAGCAGGAGCAGATCTCTCCTAGGTTCTGTGCCAAAACTGCCAGCCTGCACAGATGTCTCATACTCTACAGCCTCTCAAACAGCAGCAGGCATCTATGTTTTTGCAATGCAATAGGACCCATATGTCAACAGCTGCTATACGCTATAGGAAGGGTAAACCCCATACAGGAAAAATGGGTAAGAACAACAAAAAGCCAGCATGTCACTTGCTGCTTGTGCTATCTGCACACAGGAATATCTGCTTTGCAAGAAAGGACTGCTCAGGTTGCAGAAATTCTGTGTCATCTGGTATTCCATGCAACAATTATTTCCCTGTGAAAGGTTCTCCTATGGATTGGTGTGACGTTGCTAGAAAGTTAAGTTTCTTATTTGTTTTTCAACTAGTATGCAACCTGACACCAAATACAGACCCTTTTCTTTGAATGTGTATGTATTTACTTAGCCAAAAAGCATCTTCTGGTCTCATGTCAATTTGACCCATGATTTAATTCAGACCGTCCTCCTTCTATTTACTGATGGCAACGATCCTCTTAGCTGAAAGACAAGCTTGCACAACATTTAAGCCACATGACAAAATGTCACAGACAGACTGCAATCCAGCAGCTGGAAAAAGAACCACCATGTCACTTCTAGCCAACAGAAACTAGTCAGAGCCCTCCACTTCAATTGATCTGGGATGGAAAGTTCCTATATTTGATTCTTATTTCCCCTTTTTAATCCAATGCTACCTGATCCAACACTGTGACATGGAGAGATTTCATGGGTGAGAAGCAGTAGCCACAGTGAGGAAAAGTGAACTGCTTCCTGGAGAGAAAATTAAAAAAAGGGTCACAAATCTGGACAAAACAGCGGGTGGGGGAAGGTAAAGCCCAAGGCAGAACCAATTACAGGTAGATGACAAATGCAGGACACTCAATAACAAATTATGCCAGCAGTATAAAGTTACATTATTCAGATGCTGTTTTACTATGTCCCACGCTCAGGAACGTAGGACTTGCCAAGCTGTATTACTATAGTCATCTATCTAGACCAGCTTCCTGTTACCGGGAATAATAAGTAACAGATACTTTGGAGGAAAGTGCAAGAAACCAAGCCTTATGAGGCTGCAGGCTTGCCAGGAGAAGTGGAATCCAAATACAAAGTGCAGTTCTAATATATGCATGACTTAGTTTACTTTTTGTATCACAAGTCAAGATTTTTTTTGCTGTCCATGAATACTCTATGGCTCAACGACTGCACAGTGATTTGATGGATGGAAGGCACTAGAAGAGTAGTTTTGCTTTCTTTGCTAATCACATTTAATAGTTTAACTTCCAAGTTTGTGTTTGTTTACATAATGTACCTCCTAAATATCTGTTCCAGGTGGTAGCTGGATGGAATTACGTAATTAAATATGAAATCGAGGAGACTAATTGCTCGAAAGACCAATTTCAAGATCTAACTCCAGAGTGCAAAACCACTTCTAGAGGTGTAAGTAATCTTCAAAATCTGTTTATCAAGAAAATATATTAACAAATAATCATTGAGACCTGACTCAAGAAAATATTTATAGTCTTGCTTCACTTTGTGAGTGAAGTTTAAATCCAGGCTTATAGATAACTGTCTATTCATTAGAATAGACAATTAGATGTTCAATTAGAACATCCATGCCTTCTCTTGAATCAGCAACTAAGATGACCACTGAAATGTTTACCGATTACTCTATAGAATCTAAACAGTCTCACCCAAATAATAAATCCCTCGAGAATTTCCTATCCAGATATTCAAGGAGTTACTCAGGTACAACTCAAAAAGCGATAATTAAAATTAGCACTGTTTTTCCAGCTTAAGACATATTTTCTAAGAAAAGTACATAGCTGAATTATTACTTAACCTCTACCACAGTCCAAATAAGAGAGCTTCAAGAGAAATTTAGTAACAAACATACATACTCTAGCTAAAAGTGTTGCAAAACCAGGTACTTCCTCTGCTTCTCTGACCTGGAACAGAATTAACTGTACCAAAAATAGAGGGTTGCTCTCTCAACCGACCTCCCTGAACTAGCCTCACCGTGGCGTCAGACAAATGCTTCTGCAAATACAAGGTAGAGGGCAGGAACGTAGAGTCATAATGAACAGTGATGGTAAATGGGAGGGGAGGAACCACAGGAGTCCTGGCTCGCATCTGTTTCAGCTGTTGTGGAGGTGCACTGTTGAGTGTTACATACAAGAGCCTCTCCTGTTCAAAAAGTACTCCTTGGATGTCTCAAGAATGTTTCAGAATGTTTCAGAAGCATTGATCAAAAAAGGAAAGAATGACAACACTGTGGTAAATAATAATAGAGAGAGAATCAGACTAGCTGAAGCAAATCCCTCCGTTACGCACGTTTGCCCTTAAACCTTAAAGAAGTTACTTAATCTGCTTAAGTCTGTTTCCCAACCTGTCACCTAGAGGTAATGACTTCTGTCCACCTCACATGATGCAGGAGTGCTACCTCATTCACATACGGCTTTGATCACGCACAGTTTGTGGGATTGGATCTTTATCACTTATACACTGAACTGTTAAGCAGCCTTGCTTAACATATCATGGACAGATATTATTAGAATATGATATTCCAAGAATATTCTATACCCTGGAATGACCAAAGTCCACCAAAGTTGTTCCATACCTTTATTCAGCTCTGTACCATTCGTTCTGAAATGGGAGGACCAGAATTGCACACTGTATTCAACATGCATGTGAACCACAGAGCTATAGTGGGGCATAATGTCATTCTCTTTAACCTGGGTAATAATGTCAAGGCTTATTTTTTTATTATTTTTTCTAAACCACTACTAAGCAGATTTTTTTATGGATGACACTTTCAAGTATCTGTCATAGCCCTAAGATCTTGATCCTGAATTCTAACAATCTTCCTTCTTATTCTACAGTTGATTAGTTTCCTCTAGAGTCTTTGACAAGGGACTTCACTGAAACCTTTTTGAAAATCTACGTATACTTAGTCAACAGGTCTCTTTACCCACTTTCATTGATGCTTTTGAGGAACTTTGACAAATCTGCAAAATACAACTTCTGTTTACAACAAAAACCCCAGTCTCTCCTTGAGGTATTCAGGCCTCCTAGTTCTTTCCTTATTACCATTTCTAATAATTTGAATGGTACAGACATCAGTTTTATGGGTCTATAACCTTTTAAAAAAAAAGAACAGGATCAACATCTGCTTTCTTCCAGCCCTAAGATATCAAGGCAATTTTAAGCAAGTCATTTACCACAGTTCCTTTAGAACACCTGAGTAAATACCAGAAACTCAGTAATGTTTGATTTGTTAATTGTGTAACCTTCTTTTTTGTCTTTACACTTTGAGACAGAAATTCCCGGGAGTTCTCCATAAAATAGGATTCTGGCTTGTAAACCCCCCCATTTCCTTCTGTTACAAACACATACAAATAGTTCATTTAGCTTCTCTTTTATGGTTTTATTTTCTCTGGGTGGTCCTTTTGAACCCTGATCATTTATTGGCTCTGCAGACTATCTGTCAGGCTTCTTGCTCCCAGTGTACTGAAGGAAGGAATTATTAGTAGTATGCTTGACTTATTCTGTTAGCAGGAAGGTATTAGGCTGTGAGCTTATTCATTATTTCTGAATAATAAGGAGCTGTTTTGGGTTTTTACTCCAGCGTGTAGGTAAATGTGATGCCAAAGCATATGAAAATCTTCATGCGCAGATCGTAGATATTGCAAGCCAATGCAAGCTTCCAGGTATGTAATAGGCACTATCAATTTTAAACGTTCTGCAATTTTCAATGCTTTTTTACAGTTGTAAAAAAAGACAAAATAAAAATGCAAGAGATGAAAACAGATAATAACAAGATAAAGTAATTCTTCTGGGACCAAAAAAGCACTGCCTCTTAATGAAATATTACCACAGATTTTTTTCACTTCCTACAAGTATTTCATACGCAGCTGAAAGTTACATTTTATCATTTGTATACTGCCCTATTTGCATGACATGGAGCTGGTTGCTGACTCTCGTTTGGAGATTAACAGATACAAACTCAAAGAGTATAACTGTCTTACAAAAATTGATTCCTTTTCCACTACAGTGATAAGCAAGTTAATATCACGTTGTTTAAATAAGTAACTTCTAACTTTCCAAAGCACTCCAATGTATTCTTTTGAAAGGCAAAGGAGATGAGGACTTTAAGATTTTGTCCAAAATTGGTAATTCACCTATTGATACTACCTTTTTTTTTTTTTTCATATTGCATGGTTATACTTACTTTTGATATGTTAGAGGCTTATTTTTTCCCCTAGTAAATAAATTATTTAGAATTTATAGGTTCATTACTGTCAAATTCCCAAATGGTTTTCTTATTGTTACTTTTTCCTCCAGCCATCTATTTAGACACAGATTATCACAGCTCCAGAGCTTTAGAACAGGGAGTACAGTACTGCTCCATGTAGTAAGTGCTGCATTCTCACCCATTCAGACTTGTTTTTCTTCAAGAAAAGATAACAATATTCTTCAACACATTCATTGCCAATAACATACACCTCTTGTTCCACTTGATTCAGGTCCTTCCATATATATATATATAGGTGTTCCTTCTCTTTATTTGCTAGCTACCCACAATTGGTACACACAATTCTTGTTTCTGTGAGAAAACTGTTGTTAGGTGTCCAATGCAACACTAGATGCTGATGCAGTGCTCTTTTAGATAACCAAGATATGATAATGCTGGTCATATAAAACTCAAAGATATTTTGCTTTCATTTCATAGACCCAAATACGAAGCATTCCAGAAGGCAGGGGTTTAAAACTAACTGTTTTTCCCAGCCTATATCTACATTGAATCTTTTGTTCCTTAGATCTGAAATCTGTTGGGTTTCTTTCAGTTGAAGACACGGTAAATCCTGACACTTGCAGTGGTTGTCCGGAGACTATCCCAAAAGACAGTCCAGAACTGAAGGAACTACTGAAGGTTTCTATGGAGAAGTATAATTCAGAGAGCAATGATGATTTCTACTATAAAGGTGGAGAAATAGAAACAGCGACAGTTCAGGTTGGGATATACCACAGAGATGAGGAACAGACATGGCAGTGTTATTGGTCTAAGCTGAATGTTAGCTAAAGTTTGTATTTAGATTTGAAATAATGTTTTTTTCTCTAAGTGTTGATACATGGGGTAACTGAAATATCCATGCAATTTTTCTTGCAAAATTTTATCCATCTTGGCTTGCATTCAGAAGTGATTTAAAAATCTCCCATCTCTAGATTTTTTTTTATTTTTCTTAAAACAAAATGATTTTAAGCATGGGAAGTGATTTAAAAATCTCCCATCTCTAGATTTTTTTTTATTTTTCTTAAAACAACATGATTTTAAAAGCATGGGAAGAAGGTTGACTTAGGGTGTCTGATTTCTGTATAGCTACCCCACTTTTTACCAGCCTTTGTAACATACCTTGAACTCTTAAAGTAGAAAAAATTTATTAGACAAAACTACCCACTTGATCCACCACACCAATACTCTGTATGTTATTTTAGGCACTGTCCACCCTACAGCAGCTGTAAGCTCCAAGAAATGGGGCTTCCCAATTTCCCTTAGAAATCTGTTAATTTATACACTGATTCTGCTGCTAATAATACTCCAGCTAGATTCAGAAGAGAACATCTGTGCATAACTTAAGATACACAGATAAATACAGCTGGATAAAGAGGAACAAGGAATCAAGAGGATAATATTGGTCAGCATTTGCATTTGCCTTGTTTACTGTCCCAACATATCAAAACAGAGGTTTAGGACAGAACTTAAAATAAGACAATGGAGTAGTTCAGAAAATACTTTGTCAACAACTTCTCCCGAGCATGAGGGGTACCACTGGAGAAGGCACTAAAAGCACACCAGAGTTTTTCTGAATAGCTTATGTTATCTTACTAATAATATCTGTGCTTTTTCTTCTTTTAAACTTTTTTCTTCTTTCTCACTTTTCATATCAAGATTGATATTAGCATGCATACGTTTTTAAAATAGACTTAAAAGAGACAGAATTTCATGTTTTGCCTGCTGTCTCTGAAGCAAGATATATTATCTTGGGCTCTGTAAAAAATAATAAGAGAACTCGTCCCAGGCACATCCTTGAACCCATGCAAGTTTCTCTCCTTAATGCATTTGGCAAATATGTTCGTTTTCAACTGAGCCTGTTCATCACACGCTTCATTTTACTCACATTCCACTTTTCTTACATCATATTTGGCTCTCTACAGTGGTATCTCTAATGATTTCATTTGTTATTAATGAAATTACTGCAGGCATCCAATAAAGCAAAGCCAAAACTGTGGGCCTGATATTATTCTTACCTTTCTGTTTCCTTCAATTTCAATGCTGGAATTTTTGAGAATGGGAACTGGAGTAAATAAGTAAGTTGATTAGAAGCAGATAGGTTTGCTGCCAAATATTTTAATATTGTTCTAGTGGTCAGGACTTGTAGAATATAAGTAGTATAAGCTTGTAGAAAACCATCTTTCCTGTGAACCCTTTTCAATAAAATGCCTTTACCGCAGAAAGCCTTGTTGCTAATTTTTCAGGTGGTTGCAGGACAAAACTACCATATATTATTTGTGGTCTGGAAGACAAACTGCTCAAAGAAAGAGTTTGAAAAACTTAATGAAGACTGTGAAGCCACATCAGACAGTGTAAGTAATGATGATGTTGCCAACTGTAATGTTCCTAATGGACAAATTCATTTGTACCAGAAATTGTAAACCCTTAAGTAAAATCACATCCTGAGTTCTGTTACCTCTTTCAGTAAACTTTTGTTTCAACAAGAAAGACACCTTTCACTGCTTGTAACCCAAGCCAGTGACAACGTTAGTAAAACATGAAGCTTAAACTGAGTCACTCCAACTGCAGGATCAGTGCTCACTGCAAAGCGAAAGGAACTTTCTTCTGATAATAATGAATCAAAGAAAGGAGGGGAGGAGGCTGCTGCAAAATGAAATAGCTGCAATACTCCTGACTCTGTGGACTTGCAGCTAAGGAGAACATGAGATTGGAGCGTTACTGGTGTGCAAATGAATGATGTTTCTGGAGTGCATGCTGCTGATACCGGGAAAATGTGTTCCAGACACTGGAAAGTAATGCTGATAGGGCCAGAAACCATTGGCAAGGAAGTTGGCTGGGAAAGAGAGGCTTTATTTCCTCTCTCTTTTCCCACCATATGAAAGTGCTTAGCTGTGAGATTTTAAAATCTGTTAGTGTAGCAGGCACTAAATAGAAAAAGAATGCCTTTCTCTCTATCTCAAATTCCCAATTTTTAGTAGTAGAAATACCATCAACAAACAATATTTCTTAGGAATATCATGAAGATTAACCAGTTAGTGCTCCAAAAGTGCTGGAGATGAAAAATCCAATTTTTCAAGATCCACTCTCCAATCCAAAGTTGAATTAAAGTGTTCACACAGGCATACTATAACCTCAAAAAGCTAAGCAATGATGTGTCCCAATACAGAAGTCTCCATCACTAAGATGGATTTCATAGATATTTGGGTAAAGTTCCAAGTATATTTGTATTTAAAAGTATTACTAAAAAAATCATAATTTTTTTCATGCACAACTCTTTTCCTTTGTGTCTGATGTTTTGTTGCGTTGATGTGCTGATTTTTGTTTTGTCAACAGGCACCATTGCCATGTGAAGCACAAATTCATGTGATCCCATGGGAGAATAAAATCTCTTCCCAGGTTAACTGCTCTAAAGAACGGTCAATGGTATGATTCCTCTTCATTACCCATCATCATAAGTAGAGCATAGAACAAAGGCAGCCATTAAATTCTTTATCCATTCCAAATTATCCTATATTTGGTACCAAAAATAAAGGAAAACACGGTTCTTCTAACAGCCTCAGTAACGCCACACTCCTTCCTCTCACCCTCTAACCTCAGCAACTTGTTACATCGAAGTCAGTTTCACCACAAGGTGAGACAGTGGACAACACAGTGATTACAGAAATACAAAGGCAACAGGACAGAGAGAACGTTCTGCCTGTCGACTGCTCCTTTGCATTATCAGTTAAGCTCTGAAGTATCAAGCCCCATCAGCTCCTTTGAATTACTATTCATACTAGGTTTAAAAATTGAGACAAAAATGTATTTGCCAATGCAATAATTATATCCCACAGATTTCAAAACCATCTGCGAATCTTTTCATATTAGTAGAGTAGCAGATCTCCTGCCACAAGTCATCAATCTCTGCAGGAAGATCTTTTATTTTCCTTCCTGCCCAGCTCCACAATTAACTAGCCCTGAACATGGGTCAGTTTGAAAATTTCAGAATGGAATATAAATTTTTTTTATTATCAGAACTTTTTTAGTTCTGATGATTGCAGGTTTTTTAATAAATGCAGGGACTCCCATGCTCCCCAATGAAGAAGAGAAGATACACTGAGTAAAGTGAGATTGATTAACTTGCATTCATAATCAATAACTTCACTGTGCTCAGCACCTTCATAACTACCTATTCATTCATTATGTATCAACTAGTAAATATTTTTCCTCTTTGTTTTCACTACAATATTGTATCCACACCAACTTTCAAATTTAGCTCCATCCCAGAAAAACTCTGATTTGCAGCTAGATAATGATCAGGCACTTTGGTGGACAGAAATGAAACCCATGTTGGATAGTGACTGTACACCATGCATTCAGTCTTTGTCTTTCAGTTGAACAGTGATGGGGAAATAGAGATTACTCAATAACAACTGAACGCTTCATATTATCAGCTTTAACCTATGCCTGTCATTTCTAAGCAGTCTTATGAAATGCATATGTCAAATATAGAAACAAAAAATTGAATAATTACATTTCATATAACAAAATGATCCAGATCTTTTGTATATTCTGATATTGAGACTACTCAGAGATGTGTTAGCCTTTAGCATAAATTGGTTTTATATATCAGAGTGTTATACTCTAACAAGCACAGGGACATTTAGTCCTAGAAATTAACTGTATTGTTCATAAATTAAAACCAGTACATGTTTTCCTCTCTATAGTATCATTCCCATGTTAAAATGGCAGAATTTCAGTGATATATAAATTGTTCTTTTAACATATAACTGCTAAAATACTCTGGAGTTATTTGGGAGGGTGTTCATGTTTCCATGCTTATCACAGACAGAAAAGATAATTATTTAGTTTACTTCAAAAATCCAATAACATATTTTTGCTAAATGACTCATGTACTGCAATGAGCCAACTCAATTTCCCAGATCTGAAGCTATTGTTCTTGTTCATGTATGGCTATTATTTATGTTCATATGGCTATTATTGCAATGCTTTTTAGGCTACATTTCTAAGAAGGCCTCCTGGATTCACACCTTTCCGAAGCTTTGCTGCATTAGACCAGCCAAATAAAATTTCACACTCTGATAAAAATGAAGAAGAAAGGCAAAGACCTGAGAAAGAAACGAGAAAAGATGGTGGACAGGAACCAGAAGGTGAAGGTGAACCTGAGCATAAACACAGGCATAAACATGGGCATAAACACAGGCACGGACATAAAAAGGATCATGAGTCTGACAAAAGGCATAGGCATGAAATTGGTTGTGGGCACAGAACTGGCCATGGGTGTGGGGATAAAAACCACCATTGTAAAAACTGTAAACATAAACATCCAAACCCCAAATCTTCTGAGGAGTCCAATGAAAGGGTTTTTAATCAAAATGAAACCCTCCCATCATCCAGTGCTGAAACAGTATCAGAGCTAGTTAATCCAGGGGTTGCAAGAAAGGAAATCAGTACACCTGCAGAACCACTAATTCTTCCTGATACTTTTTTATTTAATGGGTTGCCAGACCGCCCGGAATCTCCGCTCCCCAGATGTCCTGGAAAACCGTGGAAACGAATTATAGACCTTCCGGCTCCCTCTAGCTTTCCCAGAGAATTCACAAATGAGGATCTCTTGCCTTCCGCAGCAGCAAACATCAATCCAGCAACAGAAAACTCAACACATCCCCAAACCAAAGACTTTGATCTCTCAGATGCTTTACTATAATTCAAACTTTGTAGGATCCTTTTCAGAAGTTACACATAGAAAAATACTGCCTTTTGAAATGTATAAAATGTGAAGAGGCAAAAGCTCCTATTCTGCTAGCTAAGATACTCAAGTAGGTCACCAGCAGTTCTGGGGACCTAAGATCATATGACAATACTCTGTATTTGCATGTATTTGCAAAGATGTAAATCAGGCAATGGCACCAATGATTCAGAACAAGTCTAGTAAAGGGACCAGGCAAATCAATAGCCTTCTGCTGCAGAAGTTAAAATTGTATCTCATCTGCCTTAAGTTGCTATAAGCACAAAGTGAATCACTGCATCAAATCTCACTGTATTATGTTTAAAACAATGGCACAAAGAATTTCACAGATTACATGAAGAATCTCAACCAAATATTGGTAAGACAAAAGCAAGCCAATATAGAGCAAGGATGCCTTTCTTAGATATCTGAAATAATATTTCTCTAATTTACCAGAGTGAATCATTTAGAGAACAAAATAAAATAAAGGAACATGTTTTACCTGTCAATTTCTTTAACAAATTAATATTACCCCGAGTCTATTACTAGCAGGTTGTTCTGTTGAATAAGATAACAGGAACAGCTGAGAGAATCCTAAATAAAGCAGCTTTATTATTCTCTATGCATATTATGTTAACTACACAGTAGAGGCACTATGATTGACAGATTTTCATGTGGCAGAGGTGCACAAATATTACAGATCAGATGACAAAATTACAAACACTTGAGTTACCTAAAATTTGTCTGCCTTCTTCCATTATTAGGTTGTGCATGACTTAGGGACCAGACTGAATTTTCTATTCTGGGTATCTTCGAAAGGTTGAGTTTTTGGTGGTATACATTAGCTAAAAAGCACCAAATATTTCTGGCAAATTAAAATGTGTTTTCCCCCTGTACGGATCAAATAACCTCTTCAGCTGAAAAAACACCCAGCAATAAATAAATACTTTAATGCCAGATCAGTTCACCAGTTTGAACCACCACTCAGTCCCGTAAAAGGTTATTGAACAGGTAAGGTGCTACAAATGTTAACACTTCACCAATTTTGTTGTAAAAGACTACATTGCTTGAAACCACAGTATAAGTATCCCCCAACACAGCTGCAGAGGCAGAAAGGGTATTCTCTGAAATTGTTCATCCCAACTGCTGGGATTGCTGTGGCATCAAGACTACATACTCAACAGCTGGGAATGTGTCCTTCTTTTGTGTACTATGCTTCTGTTGCCATCACCTCACTGGTGAGGAAGAAGTAGATAGATGAAGACTACTTAGAGAATGTGAAAGAGGTGGATCAACAGGATCAGGAGGTCTTGGCAGAAAAGGCCTGGGAAGATCTTGAAAGAGAAGACAGCTACAAGGAAAGGTCAGAAGACACAGAAATGGAAAGGACAGAGGCAGGGTGGAACGATATGGACAGGTGAAAAGAACAAAAGAAAACAGCAACTTAGTGGCAAAAATGGAAACAGAGCGAAGGGGATGGAGAAGTGGGTGAAGGTAGCATGGCCAAGGAGCAAAAAAGGGCAGGAACTGGAGAGGGGAGGCAAGAGCAAAAACAAAAAGCAAAAGACCTGTGCAGGAGGGTCTCTCCAATCATGTCAGGACAGTCCCCTACAAATCACAGAACTGAACTCATACTTCCTGAATCTAAACATTCCCTGAAAGCATAGGCACACCTCCCCTCTCCAGTCCCTGGTTCCTACAGAGGTGAACAACCTTCTGTGTTCAGTTACTTCCCCAGCTCACATGGTAGATAACCGCACTGTGAGGAAAAGAACTCAGCCCTTCTGAAAATCCATGTTGAGGGACAACCGCTATGATTTTGCACGCGCAATTTCTTTTTCTTCATTTTTTCTAATTGCATTAAAAGCTACATTAAAATGATATTTTAAAAGTCACAAAGTCCAAAATTAGAAACTGTCCCTGTGAGTATAAATAGAGCCTGGTTATGTGCATCTAAACATTTTTTTTAAACACAGTGTAATTGGCTGCCATATAGGCATATATTAGATAGAAAGATAGATAGATAGATAGATAGATAGATAGATAGATAGATAGATAGATAGATAGATAGATAGATAGATAGATAGATAGATAGATAGATAGATAGATAGATAGATAGATAGATAGATAGATA